GTTGATTATTCCTGCTTCGTTGCTACCTGCCTGCCCATGTGTGGCCTTTATTATGTTTGTACCTCTGTGTGAGTGTATGTGGGTGAGATATCAACACACACACACACACACACACACACACACACACACACACACACACACACACACAGTGTTAAGAGCTGACAGTGTGTCTGGCAGGATTGGAAGGACAAATTAATGGAGCTCAGATCTGATGTGTTCTCGACTCTTCACTCGGCTGCTTTGGACTGTTTGAGTGTGTGTGTGTTTATTTGTTCTCTGTGGGGATTTAATGTCTTTAAAGGACATTTCTTTAACAACAATGTGAACATACGTTCAGTGTCTCTGCTCTCGGCTGTACGGAGCTTTATGTTGTTTCTGTTCAGCCACAAATGTACCGAAGAGGCTCACCTCTTCTTCTGTCGTCCAAATACCCAGCAACTTTACTTTCTTTTAACTCCTCTGAGGCGGTGACTCTGATAATGATTATGGCATAAATCGACCACTAGATGGCGCTTTTATTGCAAGATTACAAAATAAGTTGAAATAGCTTTTCCAGGTATTTCCTGTCTCTGTGCTGCTGTCGTCCTGCAGCCTGTGGGACCGACTGTCGTTCTTTTGAATAACGTTAAAAATGTAGTCATTTGTTTGTTGCATCAACCTTCATTAGCAGCTGCTTAAAACGACCCAGCAGCCATACTGCTGATTTAGCCTCTGTTTGCATTCTGAAGGCTTCATTGTGGGCAGATCTGTTCCTGCTGGTGTAGACTCTGTATTCACAGTGTGTGAAATAAAGCACCACAGAGGACGACGGTGAATTTATCTGTGTGTTTGCACGACTGTAGAAATGAAACCGCTTCCATTAGGCGGTTATATGAGATGATGAAGTGATGAATTATTATTTGAAGCCTCCTCAGCCTCTCGTGGATCCACTGAATCGCTAGAATTTTAATCAGTGACTGCAGCACTGAATCGCCTCCAATGTTTGAGCAGAAAACATGATAAATCTCCTCAAAATGAGCAAAAAGTCATTTTCTCCAAACACACGCACACACACACACACACACACACACACACACACACACACACACAGTGACATTCAGTGTTGTCACCAGCCGATCTGTCTTTGTTAGAGCTGCTGTTCCCTCAGCTTGTTAGTCTGAGAGATGACCACCAGCAAGAAATGTCACACTGAGAAGGTGTGTGTGTGTGTGTGTGTGTGTGTGTGTGTGTGTGTGTGTGTGTGTGTGTGTGTGTGTGTGTGTTACTGGTTGGTGAGAATCAGTTGTAAATATTTTTCTAAATCAGCGATCAATCTATTGATTGATTGATCGTCTGTGTGACTCAGTCTGTTTATTTGCTGTAGAACTTTTAGAAAGTGAATTATTCAGACTTTAAAGCTGAAATCTATCAATGTTTGTAATTATTATAATAATCAATGTCTTATAAAGTTTGCGTCAGTGTTACACAGAATGCTTCGTTCTGATTGGTCGGAGTTTGTCCATTATTTTAAACTGGCTTTAGTTTGTTGTTTCTGCGCTTTTAGAGGTTTATGGGTTTAGGCTTGATGTTGTTGTTTTTGCCCAAACTGAACCGGACTTTAGTCCGGGTTTAAATGGGTTTAAATGGGTCTAGTTTAGTCTAGTTTAGGATTTAGGCTTATTTATTGTCTGTATTCAGACTGATTCAGATCCGTCTGTCCTGTCAACTCTGATTTGAGAAAATAAAGTATTAAAAACTGAAGCGTTTTGGACGTTTTGTTGCTTTTCATGGTGAATGTTAATCATTCCAGTAGATATTTTATGACAGTATGACAATGCAGATGCAGTTTCTAATATATAAAAGATAGGTAAGCTTGAAACAGGACAGAAGGAACGTGAGATATTTCACTTTTTAGGACCAGTTTAAAGAAATCCTCCTGCTCTCAGATCTCCAGGCTGTGAAACATCAGACAGAGCAGCTTTTTAGCTTTTCTGCAGCTTTGCTTCGGTGTGTTTCAGATTCAGTCGGCCTGTCTGCGAGCTACAGGACGGCCGACGGCGGGGGGAAAATTGGCCACTTGAGCGCCGTGAAAATCAGCCGGCCCTGCTGTCAGCCCGTTATTTAAGATGATAGGATACAAGCAGGCTCGGTTTAGCTCGGCAGTGTGAAGCCTCCGCTGGGCGGTGATGTGAGGGGGAACACCTGAGCTGATCTGCTGTCACCAAATGTTCCACCACAGTTTGACAGAACCACTGGTTTTAACTTCAAATCCTCACCTGGTGTTTCACAGCTCGAACATGGTGCGACTTTTATTATTCTGATTTATTCAGATTTACGTTCTACATAGATTTTCTGTGTCAGTTAAAGGTTAAATATCTGAGATTAGAAGTGTCTCACCTATCATAAATTAAGGATTTATTTCCACCAAACCAGAGTTGGTGATTGTTGGAAACACTAACAGAGACTCTTTTAATGAGTTTTATTCTGTTTCTGTCCCCTTTGAATGAAGTTTCTTTGATCTGAAGGTTAAATGAGTGTTTTTGTCTCTGGAGTCTGGTGGAGAGTGATAGTGATATTACGGCTGTTTGTGGTTAAACTAAAGGTCTATCTCTGTAGGGATCCTTTCCATAATGCTGTCAGACACTGACAATAACAACCCGAGTCTGTCAGTGGCAGAAACTACACTGTAGACAACAACTACTGTTAGTGGAACAAACAACAACTACTGTTAGTGGAACAAACAACAACTACTGTTAGTGGAACAAACAACAACAACTGTTAGTGGAACAAACAACTACTGTTAGTGGAACAAACAACAACTACTGTTAGTGGAACAAACAACAACTACTGTTAGTGGAAAAAACAACAACTGTTAGTGGAACAAACAACTACTACTGTTAGTGGAACAAACAACAACTACTGTTAGTGGAACAAACAACAACTACTGTTAGTGGAACAAACAACAACTACTGTTAGTGGAACTAACAACAACAACTGTTAGTGGAAAAACAACAACTGTTAGTGGAACAAACAACTACTACTGTTAGTGGAACAAACAACAACAACTGTTAGTGGAACAAACAACTACTACTGTTAGTGGAACAAACAACTACTACTGTTAGTGGAACAAACAACTACTACTGTTAGTGGAACAAACAACAACAACTGTTAGTGGAACAAACAACAACTACTGATAGTGGAACAAACAACAACTAGTGTTAGTGGAACAAACAACAACTACTGTTAGTGGAACAAACAACAACTACTGTTAGTGGAACAAACAACAACTACTGTTAGTGGAACAAACAACAACAACTACTGTTAGTGGAACAAACAACAACTACTGTTAGTGGAACAAACAACAACTACTGTTAGTGGAACAAACAACAACTACTGTTAGTGGAACAAACAACAACTACTGTTAGTGGAACAAACAACAACTACTGTTAGTGGAACAAACAACAACTACTGTTAGTGGATGGACTTTGACGGTGTATTTGTTCCAAAGGATTAATGTTAGCTTGCGTTGCGGCCATAGCAGCCATTTTCACATCCAACACGGTGAATTGAGGGTTTATTTCCACCAAACCAGAGTTATTGATTATTGGAAAGACTAACAAAGACGGTTTTATATAGTTTGTCCATTTTGAATGAAGTAAAGATGTTAGAATGAGCTGCAAAGTAAAATCGCTGTTTTTGTCAATGGAGTCTGGTGGAGAGCGTCTTAATGTGGATCTGTAGAAACAGATCAGCGGAAATGATGTCGCTCTAACAGCTGGGACGTGACGTCATGGCGATCCTGATGAGTGATGTCATCATCAACGTGGTCTGTGTAGAAGAGGAGAAGAAGAAGAAGAAGAAGTGTTGATTGTGGTGTGTTTGTGCAGAAACTTCCAGCAGACACCTGCTCCCCCGTCTCGGCCCGCTGTCGTCTCCACCCGTCCGTCTCGCTCGCATAGAGGTTAAAAATAACTCCCGCTGGGCTCCCATTGGTCGTCTTTGAACTTCCTGGAGAGATGTAATTGGCAAGGGGGGAGGCGAGAGACGTCTCCATGGAAACCTGCATCCGAGGAGCTGAACAGGGACGAGACTGCGAGTGTGTGTGTGTCTCATTAGCTTTAAAGGGTCAGAGGAGAAAAATGACTGTTTTTTCTCTTTGTGAAGCTTCAAACCAGTTTTAACTCAGTAATTAAACCTTCAAAGTCCTCCGTTAATTCATGTAGTTTGTTTGTTGTTGTTGTTGTTAATGTTGAATATTATATAAGGGCCACTGCGAGGGAAGAAAAAAGATTGTAAAGACATAATATTACAAGAAAATGTCATAATGTGAGGCAAAGTTTAAAGAAGTGATAATTTAAGGCCCCAACAAACAGACAAACTACAGCGAGCAGCTTTTTATCTAATTCACAAAAAATAACAAACAAACAATAAACACACAGAATGTAATATATCGTTTTACACACACACACACACACACACACACACACACAAACACACACACACACACACACGTGACCCTGAAGTGCACAATCACATCATCCTGCAGACATCAACAGGATTGAAATATGACAGAAGGTTAAAGCAGCAACAGACACACACTGTCAACATCCTGCCAATTCTGAGCTCTTATAAACCCCCAGTACACACACACACACACACACACACACACACACACACACACACACACACACACACAGAAAACAGAGTGCGCTCTGGGTAGATAATCTGCTGTGTATGAATCCAGTGTAATCCTGTCATCTCCAATCCTCCGCAGTCTCGCCGGCGCCCCCTACAGGCGCAACACGACCCCTCTTCTTCTTCTGTGGTGTTGTCGATGTCACCGCAGGAAGTCCTTGTTGATCAATAAAAACAATCCGATATTAAGAAGTTATTAAACACTGAGCTTCTTCTCGACGGTGTCTGTCGCACCTGTGACCACGACAAGCGGTGATGTCAGCATGTACTGAGTGCGCTGTGACATCACTGCAGAGCTTCAGCTGACGATTGTTTTTAATATTCAATTCAATTCAATTCAATTTTATTTGTATAGCGCCAATTCATAACAGAAGTTATCTCAGGACACTTTTCAAATAGAGCAGGTCTAGACCGAACTCTTTAACATTAATTACAGAGACCCAACAGTACCACCATGAGCAAGCACTTGGCGACAAGGGCAAGGAAAAACTGCCTGTTAAAAGGCAGAAACCTAGGACAGATCCTCCGGCTCTAGGTGGGTGGTCGTCTGTCTCGACCAGTTGGGGTGAGAGAGAGAGAGAGAGAGAGAGAGAGAGAGAGGCAGACAGACAGACAGACAGGTGCACAGCAAATATCGATTAATCTGCAGATTCAAATAAATGAGTTTAGTTGTACATGTGACCCCTCTGAGGGGCGGGGCTTATATTGGCGTCCGGAGGGCAGGAGGGTGTTTGTGAGGTCGGTTGTGGTGAACCGATGGACCGATGGAGCCGGAGCAGGTTAAATACGCTGAAAAGGCAGACGACGCTCTGGGAATCACGGCGATCTCTCGAGGATACAGACGTGGAAGTGGAGAGTCTACAGACTCAGACGGTATCTGAACCAACCACCACCAGAGAATTGGTGCGTTCGGTGCCCCCAGGGTGTTTTAAAGAGACGTTTCCTGCAGAATCAGACACAATACCTCAAACAAACAAACAAACAAACAAACAAACAAACAAACAAACAAACACACAAACAAATTTCTGACCAAACAATCCTCACTCAAGTTCTGCTTACCAGTTTTTTCCCGGGCTTTCAGCTGTCATGGACTTATAGTCCAGGAGATTATAATTAATATCAAATCTATTCAAACTAATGATTTAATGATAACTGAGCTTGCATGTCATCAGATCGGTCTCCATGGTAACAGACTGATGAAGAACATGTGAAGAACACTAAGGTTTTAATCCTTTTAAAAAGTTCAATAAAATACTTTTTTGGTTTTTTATTGTTTATTTTAAACTCAATACACTGTTGTTGCTTCAGATGACATCACTATGACGCTGTGTTACATCACCAATCAATCTCAGACTGCCTCCATAAATCTGTTATTAAAATGATTTAGTTTGTTTGTTTTTATAAAACTCTTTATGTGTTGACGTGATGACCGCTCACGCTCAGGTGGAGCCGTTCCCTCGCTGACAGATCACAGTGGGTCAGCTGACGTCCGCTCGGCGGCGAGGGAAGAATGAGCGACAGATGGAGACGACGCTCGGCTGGAAACGGATCAAATCAGAGGCTTTAATGGAGATTTAAAACCCGCTGCAGGCCGAGCTGTTAGCAGTTAGTCACTGTTATTATTTACTGACAGTCTGTGCAGCTGAGAGATCTCTGGGAAAACTTCATCTCTCAGTTTTACACAAACATTCACTGTAAAACCTAATGAGTTAAACTGTTTGAGGATTATTAACTCAAACGTGAAAGATACTTGATCTGAGTAGAAGGACCTTTATTTGTTACGGTAACTTGTGTAAATTAAGTTAATTGTGCTTATTCCATTAAGTTTATTGAACACAGTATGTCAGCATTTACATAATACAGAGGATTGTATAAAAAGTCCCAAAAATATCAGAAAAACTAATCTCTGATCAAAATTACAATAACTTGTTTTACACAAACTTCCTGCAGGTGTTTTGTTCACTGTTTGGATTCATTGTTCAGTTTATCAGCTGTCCTGTGCTGTTATTGAATATAATATGAAATATCAGATAGAGATTGGCAACCACTGCTCTACACTATGTGATACGCTTTTTTAACTTGATCCATCCACCCTTTCTCTGAGCGCACCTGCTAACACCAATCTTCAGCTAACGTTAGCAAAACTTTGGCAAAGTGACAAACTGGACCGACTTCTGACACAAAGTTAAACTTGACCGGGTGACTGTGTATGTTTGATGAATATCCAGAGACTTTACTTTAACTGCATGAGTTCGGGATTAATTGAAGTGTTCAAACTCACTGAATTTAAATCTTATAGTGAAGAACCCAAAGTCGTGTTTAAAGTGATGCACGAAACACAGTTGAAGTTTTTTTCAATTTCATCCACCAAATATATCATCAATCATATCAAACCCTCCCAGAATGCATCAGGTCCTGGCTCCTTTAACCCTCCTCCACCAATCAGACTGCAGACCGTCGGCCAATCATGTGGTCGGATGGCAGTAAGCTGCCGCGTTGGGAATCGGTCGCCCTCTCTGACCTCGAACCCTCGACCTGGCACTACGGGGACGAGAGCCGGCCTAGTTTGAGTCTGCTGAACGTTGTGTTCAGGGTGTGTTTTTGAGCCAGTTTTGACCTTTGACCTCAAGGCCGCAGGCAAAAGCACCAATTAAGATGATGTTTGTTTGTTGTTGGCAACACTTTTCTCCGTCTGTGACCTCTCTGACCCTCAAACTCTCTCTGAGAGTCTTCTCTTCCTCCTTTTATCTGTCGGTTAATGCAGACTGCTGGTTGTGGAAGGAAACCCTTGAACGAATAGAACAACATTTCAAATGCATCCTGGTCTGACAGAGGTTTATTACCAATATCAGAAGTATGAAACCAGAACAGGGAGTTCAGGGCTTGACTCTTGTCAGACGTGTGAAGTTTGGTGGAGATTGGACAAAATACACTGGAGTGATAACAATGTCCTGTTTCATGACAAATACGTCGAAATTCAACACCAAGCCACGGACATCATGCGTTTACATATTAACAAGGACATTTTCAATAAAAACTAAAATAATATAAACTATTAAAGTTCAAACTGCTGTGTCCAATTATACCGAAGTCGTTCACATTTGTACAAAATATTACCTGAAACTGATAGAGAATGATTATTGATCCTAACAAAAATGAGTTTCTTTCCGTAACTTTATCTTATAAAACAACGTTTATTTGGAGCTCAAAACTTGAACAGCTGATCTGAAGAGGAGGAGGAACCTAAAACACTGACAAACTATTTCAATGAACAAAACTGAATTTGACGACTGGCGATGGATCCAAAGCGACTCAATGATCAGAATATGAGCTCGTATTTGAAAGGTCTCTGATCCACTGTGACCCGATGAAGGATCATTTCACAATTTGAGGGTCGTCTACGACTGCATGGATGGAAAGATAGAAACAATTGATCGGGCGAGGTGAAGAGGTCAGAGCGGCTGGCATTGATCACAGTGAAAGAGAGATCAGCAGGATGAAACAGACAAAGACGATCAACAAAGAGACAAACCCACAATGGTGTCCTGTGAAATGGATTCAGTCGTCCGTAAAAGCAGAACAATACTTCATGATTGCTTCATGTGAAATTTCCAGAAACGAAGGCTGTAATTTGGAGACTTTTGGAGGAAGCTTTTCTTGCTGATTCTCCAGTGACTATAACGCGGCTGTTCTTTATAAAGACATTACTGTGGCTGACAGGCCGGCCGGCTTCGACGCTCTGATGCTGAGAAATCAAGAGGCTGTCACAGCTTCTGTTTTTTCTAAATCCAAAATAACAGAGAGAGAAAAGAGAAAATCAAGGCAGAAAAAGTGGATGAGACACCTCAGGTGGAAGATCTGAAAGTACCTGAAAATCACTCACTGACATTCACACTTTATTAGTCATTTAGCAGAGAGATGATGAGTTTCCTGTACTTAACGCCTCCAATGTTTCCGCTGTAAATTACTACTTTCATGAACTCCCACGGCTGTTTGCAACTGACATCTAAGTGTTTGATGGTTCGACTCTTTAACATGTTGAATCGGTTCATTTCGGACAATTTCGGAACCGCCTGGCTATTGTTTGACAGCGATTTAACCTCTATTTCAGTGCTTCCCTTATCGCTGTAATGATCAAAAAGTTTGCCATCAAACATCTTCTTTCTTGAAAGCTTTCCGGGCAGGTTTCTGGCCTAATTCCTCATATTTATCCCTTCTGAACACAGCCTCTAACGAACCATCCAGCTATTGTCTTCTTCCTTGACACTTGGAGGGGTTAAATATATTACATTTGGGGAAATCTTTCCTTACTAATAAGAGACGATCCATCAAATATAGACTGTGATCAAGTGTTTTATAGTCCGACACATGAATGGTACGTTGCAGCGCATGCTGTATTACTGCTGGACGTATTTACTCAATATTTTAATTAGAAAATGGAAAGAAGAAGAAAAGGAGACAAAGAAGGGAGATGATGGGATGAGGAGACAAAGACAGATGGAGGATGTGAATTACTGCATGTTCATTAGCAGAGACAGAGAGTGATGGAGGGATGAGGCAAGAGGAAGATGAGGAAAAACGTAAAGTAATGAAAAAGCGAGGAAGAGAAATCTAATTAATTAAAAGGGACGATGAGAGATGTCCCTTCTATTGAAGAGACATCGACGTAAACAGGAAGATTCAATCGATGCGGTGATTAGAAAATGAAGAAGAGGAAAGAAACAAAGAATCCATTTTATTTCCCACAATTCTCTCTGTTTGTACTGGTTAGTTCTTCTAAATATGTTTGCCATCCAAGAGATTCACTTGAGCAGACGCCTACGACTGTAGATTCACAGTTTACTAACTGCCCTCAGTGCTCTCACATTCTAAAAACACTATTCAATCATTATTTCAGTTTTAAGTCAAACTTTAACTTTTAAGTTTTTAAAATGAACTCATCATTGAGTGGTCTACAAGTTGTTCACAATGCGCTGATTTTTCATTATTTGAACTGTAAAAAAGTTGAGAAAACTCAATTTCAAAGCAAATTTTCTTAGCTTTAAGTCAAACTATTAATGATCATTTGTACTTTTGTTCTTTAGAAGATCTTTTAGTTTTAGAAACAAAACCTATTAAAGTGCAAAACTGCTAATGATTTAGTATTCATATTACTATTTAATTTTCAAACCACCCAAATAATGAAAATCCAGGTTCATAGCTCACTGAATACATTTTCAAATGGGCTGATTAATTGATTTATTCTGAGCCTCAAAATCGACTCCAAATAATTAAAATCAGCCCACCAAGAGTTGAAATTCCTGTTTTAAAGTCATTTTGTATTTTGAAAATGTCAGAAACAGATTCCTCAATAAACCCCAAAACCACTCCGCTATTGTCCATATAGCTGATTATTAATGCTAATTATGCTAATTGTCCAACATTTGCAAGTTAGCATCAGTTCCTAAATGCTGGAGAACCAAACTGAACATTTCTAACAGAAAACTTTGAACTCAAGCTATTCAGCTTTTAATGGAGGTTTGTACAATTAGCTTCAGCAGGAGGAGAACTGAGGATGAGGAGAACTTAAAAAAGACAGGAGAGAGGAAGAAGATGAGGTTTATTAGAACAGCAAAGAGGCTGCGGACGACTTTTCATTAACGTCTGAGAATCGACAGGAAGAAAGAGAAATAGTGTGAGAGAGAGAGGCAGTCCTTCATTAAAGGAAGAGGAGGAAGAAGAGGAGGAGGAGAGGAGGATTCATGACCTAACAAGGATGCAGCTCATTAACTGGCCTTCGTTGCCACGGGGACAGGAAGTGGGATTTGTTTGAGGCTTCAGAGGGATGACGACCCATCTTAATGTAGTTCACATTTGATCGATTGTTTATTGATCGTAGTATTGATCAGCACTGAGGAGGAGCTCAGTGTTCTGTCTGATTCTGCGTAATGTTCCTTTAATCAATATTGTTTCATTCACTCGTACAACTTTTATATATTTGTGAGTTTTTTTTATCAGTTTCAATCCCATAAAACGAGACATTAAGATAATAAAGAGACTAATTATTAAAAAATAAAGTCTGATCATTAAGATTAGTTCATGAGGTAACTGATGTTTTCAGCAGCTGCAGTATTGATAACATCTACCAACCAAACATATAATGAAAGTTATGAAAAACGTTTCCAAAAACACCACAAATTGTTTCACTGTAAAAGTGGAAAAACTCATAATTTCAATTCAATTCAATTTTATTTGTATAGCGCCAATTCATAACAGAAGTTATCTCAGGACACTTTTCAAATAGAGCAGGTCTAGACCGAACTCTTTAAAACATTATTTACAGAGACCCAACAGTACCACCATGAGCAAGACCTTGGAGACAAGGGCAAGGAAAAACTGCCTGTTAAAAGGCAGAAACCTAGGACAGATCCTTCGGCTCTAGGTGGGTGGTCGTCTGTCTCGACCAGTTGGGGTGAGAGAGAGAGAGAGAGAGAGAGAGAGAGAGAGAGAAAAAAGAGAGAGAGACAGACAGACAGACAGGTGCACAGCAACAACAGTATTGGCAATGGCAGTCAAGCAGGACCATGGCAGGAGGCTCCACCAGGATCCATGAGAACCTGCGAGAGAATTTCAAGGCAACTGAGTTTAAAGTCAAACTTTTAAGTTTTGAAATAAACTACAGAAAGTTTTGCCAACTTGTAATATTTTAATTTGCTTTTCTTCTTAAAAACTTAAATCTTTGAGTTTAAAAAACATCAAATTCTGTATTTTAGAAAATGTGCACAGACAATAAAGCGCTGTACAGTGGTTCAACCAGACAACTGAAAGAGATCCTCTAAAAAGAATTTAAGAAAGCTCTGGTCAAAGAAACCTTTCAGTCTGTGCAGACAGAAACAGTCAATAATGTCTGGAACAGGCTGGAAGGATATAAAGAGAAGTTCGGTTTAGCGTTGTTGAATATCAGCTGACAGTTTGATGTGCAGATGTGAACGAGGGCTTTAAACCTGCTGGATGTGAGCGGGTCGTGCAGTCTCTCTCTGTATGTATGTCATGAATAATATGGTGTTATTATATTTCATCATAAACATACTGTGGAGCTCCTGCTGCGTGCGTTGCTAGGCAACACGCAGATGAATATTAACCAGCTGATAGACGGGTTGAACCGCGAGGATCCGTCTGATTGATTATCTGCTCTCAGTTTGCTGCGTCATCACATGAGAAATATCAGAAAGCACAAGTGACGGTTGGTTTCTGTACGTGAGATAAAATCTGTAAATTCACGTTTTAAAACATCTCGTGAAATAAATTGAGTCTGTAATGTCTTTTTTTAATTGAAATGATCTTTCCCAACAAATACTGCCGGTCGGTTTCCCTCTAGTGTTATTAATGTTAGCAAAAATAAATATATAACATCCGGTTAGACTTTCAAAAGTTAAGAACATTTTGTAAAATCCAAAGGATGTGACGTTTATGCTCCTGAGTGCACTAGCAAAATGCTATCTGAGTACATATGATAGTTGGTTAATGTTAGCTTACTTGCTTGCTAACGTTATCGCTAGCAAAATACTATCTGTAGGCTAGCGTGGGGGGGGGCGGCGGTTAACTTTAGTTTGCTCGCTAACATTATCACAAGCAAAATACTATGGGTGGATATGTTAGTTAACGTTAGCTTCCCCAGCTAATGTGATTCTGACAAACAGAGTTGATTTTAAATAATAATAAATGATGTAGCGGTACAAAGCTAACGTTAGCTTTCTACTAGCCAAGAGTGATGCGAGGTAGGGGCATCCAGCTAGCTAACTGTAGCTGAGCTAAGCTGGGGTTGTCCGGCTGGCTGTGTAATGGCTGGCGCGGTGTGCGTCTGGCGTTGGTTGCTTCCTACATTGACACTGCAGATAGTAACGTGATTCTTTCAGTTATTTACAGGGTTCAGTGTTTGCAGTGTGTTTCAGGAGCAGATGGATGAACATAGATGGGTTTTGAAGCCCCCTGCAGAGTCTATTAAGGACCCTCTGACTCCACTGCTGCGACACTGTTTACTGATTCAACTATTTTACTTCAATGTTGCCATGTTTGATAATTATTATTTATCACTTAGCGCGTTCTCGTGAAATCCCTGGCAGCAGAAACTCACCGTTCCTGCCAATAAAGCTTTTAGGCTGTTTGGATTTTTCAGAGAGATTACGTAAAAGTCACGAGGCTGGAAGAGAAAACAGACAGAAAGACGGAAAATAAAGGAAGAGGGTTCAAAAATCAAGGAGAGAGTGAAGGAGACGGACGGCTGAACAGATAACAGGAGGAGAGGAAGAGATAAGAGCAGAGAGGGAGAGACAGAGGGAGGGAGAGAGAGGATTAACCTCTGAGAACGAGGGATTATTTTGGGACAAAGTGTTCAAATGTTTAATATGTCGAATGACTAAAATCGTAACAGAGGGATCAACAGAGAAGCATCATAACGGTATCCATGGAGACCAATCAGAGCGTCTGATTTTAAATTCAATTAAATTCAGTAAGCTTTATTGGTCTGACGTTTGTCATGTTGTTAAAACAACATTAAACCTCTGCAGTGAAACCGGCCTTCACTACCTGTGTCGGTTTATTGTGACGTCTTTTCTTTATATTATTATTTATATACATAGATATATTATATATCTTTCAATAAATCATAGCCATGTGTAGAAACTTCAACTAAAACCTAATATAAGTCAGTAAAACATAATATTTTAAGTACTGAAATTGAGTCATACACTGTCTCAAAAACTGTCTGCTGTTGTTGCCAGAACTGTACCGTAATAATATCTTTTCTACTATTATGGTAAAAGGATATTAGTGCATATTTTATTGTATAAATACAACTTTTTACCATGAAAAGAAACAGTTTCACATATGAAAGAAAGAATAATGAATACTATGCTCCCATAAAGACTGACCACTATTGTGAGCGAGTCCTTTATTGTCAGGAAAAAGTCCTGGAAAGTCCTGGAAAAGTTCTGGAAAATGTTGTAAAAAGTGGAAACTTTGCATTTGTCGGGGACTATTTTCAACGGTGGATTAATCTACGTTTAGTGCTGTTGCATTTAGAGGCTTCAATCTTCAGCCTAACTGTCAATCTTCCTTTGTTTCTTCCTTTGTTTCTGAGCCTCTGTGCTGCTCTGCATTCTCCCATGATCCTCCACTGTTTGACCTCGTTAAGGGAGGTCGCCAATAATTGGACACCGCTCGTCTTAATGGCTGCCATTAGCATTAGGAAAGGTTAACTCATGCAAAACTTCCTGCCACCGCCTCGCTAACAAGCCTTCGTTAAGAGGAGGATTTTATTAGGAGGAGAGCAAACAGCCGAGAGGAGGCGGACGTGGAGAGAATCGCACTCACCAAACGGCGTCACTCTTCTTCTTCTTCGTGTGTCTTTAAAGTCAAACTCACTCGCTGGGGATCCGAACATCTGGCTGTGTCATTTCTCTCCTCCGCTCTGCTGATGTTTGTTTGTAGCTCCTGAATGAATGAATGAAAGCAGTCGGACAGATCGGCTTCAGGCCAAAAGAACAGCTGATTGGATTTCAGTCGGTCTGGATTTCTGCCATCAGACCAGAAACGAAACCTCCAGAGAGCCGAACCTCCGGGTGCACAAATCCAATTAGCTTGTTCAGCAACAAAAAGAACGTCTTTGTTCCACACGTGGAGCTTCTGTTAATCTCATTGGTGCATCCGGATGATATTAGACAGAAGTTAAACCGGTTTCTTTCTCAGTTTGTTCCAACTTATAATTATTATTAAAATAAAAAGCTTTAAACTGAGTTAAATATTCAGAACTTCAGACTTTCACCAACATCTGGAATCTCGACTAGAAATAAAACTAGACTAAACAATTTTCACTCAGTTTTACTCCACAATGGTACAAACGTACAATATGTAACAATTAATACAATTGATGAGGTGGTGAAGCAGTGTAGGATCATGAGAGTTGTTGTCTTCACCACCATTGGCGTCATTGCAGTCAGCTTCTCCCGGTTAGGATTCCTTCAGTGTTCATGGTTCAGGAGTTTTTTTTTTCGGGAGTGTCCTCCTCTCCAAAACAAACGAGCTGCTGCTAACGTTAGCTCAGCTTGTTTCTCTGATAACTTAAGATCCAGACGTCCGAAGACTAAAATCCTTCATCAGGTTCAAATCTAGAGTTAAAAAGCACCAAGATCTAAACAGTGGATGGTAACAATGTTTTCAGTTCATCTGATCTGTGCTCTCTGTCGTCACACTGAAAAATGTGTCGTCATATTCAAACTTTATTTTGTTTGTTGTATTTCCCCAGGACGTCTGAGGGGGTCCACCCCCGCCTCTTGACTTCCTGGAACGTGGTGAGCACTTCCTGTACCTGACTGGCTGGAAGCTTCTCCTGTGCGTCACCGCAGATTTTTACACTGTAAGTATCTTGTACGTTTTTCCACATGTCAAACACCAAAATACGCCTTCGTTAATGAGCCGTTGAGCGTTCTGGGATCTGCATCCACGAAGTGCTGAAATAAGTTAAGCAGAAGTTCATTTAATCAAAGCACGACGGCATCAGGAGGTGAGGAAAAGATTAAAGATTAAAGAAGGAAAGTGAAAAGGATTTTTTGAAAGTTTCCAGTGAGGAAAAGACTGAAATTACGCTGTGTTTTATAAAGTATGACAGATAATAAAATACAATAAAATAAAATAAAATAATAAAAGTGTGTTTCAGGTTGAAGTTAAACAATTTGGAAGTTAATAGAAAGTGTCTGCAGTGATAATAAAGTTGTTTCTTGTAGTCAAATTCACATCAACATGAATCACTTTATTGTAACGTCAGTAAACATCGGCTCCATTTAGACCACTGGTTCCTAACCTGCGGTGTCCACTGCCTCTAGGGTGCGCCAAAGCTTCACAAGGGGGCGAGGCTTTTTTTAAATATGTACAGTAGGTCTAAATTTTAGCATTATTTCTGTAAAAAAAAATGTAATCTTTATTTTTGAAGTGTTAATGATTATTTAAGGTGGAAACTTCTGAAGCTTCACACTCAACACGCTGTTGTTGACTCGTGTATTTTGTCCATAGAACGAAACAAAATGGTGTTTCTCTTCTTCTGAGATAAACATCTCCACTGACTGACTTCCTGTATGATGCCTTAGTGTTGATTTTGTGTGGGGTCTTTTATTTTGAAATGACTGGATTCCCTATGCTGTTTCTGCCAATGCGATCTGCTCTGCGCTGCTTGTGCACTTACCAACAAAAATAGATGCTTCGGGACGCACCACAGTGCTTCTGGTGGAATAACGAGCTTTGTGGAGAACGGAAGAGAGAGAAGAAAAAAAGAGTGTAAGAAACAGAAAGGAGGAAAGAGAAGAGAGGAGGAGTTGAACTTCTGAGGTGAACAGAGGATGAATAACAGCAGAGGAAGAGGAGTTATGCTGCTCTTCATCTTTCTTCTGATAAATCTCCTTATTCATTCGTTCTTTTATCCAAATCTGTCTTTTCTCCTCCACTCTTCCAGCTGTCTGATTCCAGTCTCTGATTGGCTTTTCTTCTTTTCTGACTCCTTCATCTTCCTTCCTCCCTCTCTCATCCCTCCTTCACTCTTTCATCAACCTCCGTTCGTTCTCATTTAAAGTCTCGTCATTTACTCTCGTTCTCTCCGGCCAAACTCAGATCTTCTGCTCAGTGATGGTTGAAATCGGGAAAGCGTGGCGGTGAAATCTTTGAACAGAGAAGCAGAACTCCTCTGGTTCCTCTGGAGGAACAGGACTGCCGTTTAATGGAAACAGAAAAAGAAAGATGGATGGATGAGTGAGCGAGAAGTGACGGGACGTGTCCACTGGGGTGTTTTTGGAGGCGAGGCATCCTCCTACAACCACACAAACACTTCCTGCCTGCACCTGATTGGACGAAGCTTTCTGCTCAACATGGCGGCTTGTGTGGCGAGAGTCATCAGAGAGACAGCGACAGAACGTAGAGTCCGAATATTTTATATATTTGAATCTGTTAGACAATTGAATTTTTCTGTTTAATAAGGAAATAATGTTATTTTGATTAGATTTTTAATTAATTAATTTTAGGGGCCTTCTTGATTTTAAGGGGTTCAAAAAAAATATACACAGTGGGCCGATATCTCAACATTTCATTTATTTCTGTGAAATAATATATAATATAAAAGAAATATTATTTTTTCAAGTTTAGATTATTATTTAAGAGCTAACCTTTGAAGATCAGAGCCTTCACTCTCAAACAGCCTCTACCTGCATTAAAGAAAGTTCAAACAACCAAAGAGCTGATAGAACAATAAGAAGAAAAGACTGAATTGATTGTTTAAAATTATTAAAAATACATAATACAGACAGAATTGTATAAAAATCAGAAAAACTCTGATCGATATTCACAGGAATAATCTGCTTAAAATTCATCCAAATCTCTGGTTGTACACACACTTCCTGCAGTTATTGAGTTCACTGTTTGGGTTCACTGTTCATTGTTCAGTTCATTTAACTATTACTGTTACTGTCCATAATATATGTCACTTAATCAGGGGTCACTTTACTCAACTATAGAAAAGGGGTCCCAGAGGTTGGGATCCACTGACTTACACCTCTGCCCCCACTGGGAAAATCTGATCATAACCTGGTCCTGCTCACGCCACAGTACAAACCACAGATCCAGAGACAGTCCACGACGAAAACACTCCTTCAGGAAATGGTCTCCTGAGGCAGCAGAGGCTCTGAGGGACTGCTTTGAATGTACTGACTGGAGCGTCCTGCAGGAAGCACATGGTGAGGACATCGAGGGGGTCACACACTGCACTACTGACTACCTGAACTTCTGCATGGACGTTGTGGTCCCCACTAGAACTGTACACTGCTTCCCCAACAAGCCCTGGATCACCAGTGATGTCAAGGACATCCTGAACAGGAAGGAGAGGGCATTCAAGGATTGTGACAGAGACAAGCTGAAGCGTGTACAGGGGGAACTCAAGGTCCACCTGAGAGAGGCAAAGGAGGACTACAGAAGGAAGGTAGAACAGAAGCTGCAGCACAACAACATGAGGGAGGTCTGGGATGGCATGAAAACCATCACAGGCTGCAAGAAGAAGGGCAGCATCACAGGAGAGTGGGATGCTGGGGGAGCAAACCAGCTAAACCTGTTTTTTAACAGGTTTGATACTCCAGCTCCCACAACCAGCGACGACCCACTTAACACCCCCACCATGTCCATCACTTCCCCCAACGCCACCACCTCAGACTGCAGACCACCCCAACCCTCCACACCCATGGACAGTTCAACCCCCCTCCCCACCACCATCACCAAGGATCAGGTGAGCAGAGAGCTGAGGAGGCTTCGTCCAAGGAAAGCAGGGGGCCCGGACAGAGTGTGTCCAAGGATGCTTAAAGCCTGTTCTGTTGAACTGGGGGAGCCACTCCAGCATGTCTTCAACTTGAGCCTGCAGCTGGGGAGGGTCCCAGTGCTCTGGAAGACTTCATGTCTCATCCCGGGTCCTAAGAAAAAACACCCCAGGGAGCCGGGTGACTTCAGACCAGTAGCACTGACGTCACACATTATGAAGACATTTGAGCGGCTGCTGCTCCATGTCCTCAGACCCCAGGTCCACCACGCACAAGATCCACTGCAGTTTGAATTCCAGGAGAAGGTGGGCGTGCACGTCAGACACTGTGGTCAGCAGCACCCGAGCACCACAGGGGACCGTGCTCTCTCCTGTCCTCTTCACCTTCTACACATCTGACTTCCAGTATAACTCCGGGCTCTGCCACATGCAGAAATACTCGGACGATACTGCGATAGTTGGCTGTATCAAGGATGGACGGGAGGGGGAGTACAGGAGCCTGGTCGAGGACTTCGTAAGGTGGTGCATGTCCAACCATCTGCAGCTTTACACCTCCAAGACCAAGGAGATGGTGTGGACCACATCTCCAACCCGTGTCCATCGAGGGGGTCGATGTGGAGGTGGTCAGGACCTATAAATATCTGGGGCTGCAGCTGGATGACACTCTTCACAGGAAAGGGCAGAGCCGTCTGTACTTCCTGAGAAGGCTGGGGTCCTTCAACATCTGTAAAAAACTGCTGCAGATGTTTTACCAGTCTGTGGTGGCCAGCGTCCTCTTTTATGCTGTGGTTTGCTGGGGAAGAAGCAGCAAGAAGAGAGACACCGGTTGACTGGACAGACTGGTGAGGAGAGCTGGCTCAGTAGTGGGCACAGAGCTGGACTCTCTGGTGACAGTGGCAGAGAGAAGGACCATGGACAAACTGCTGTCCATACTGGACAATGCCCACCACCCTCTGCACGACACCTTCACCAGGCAGAGGAGTGTGTTCAGTGGCAGACTGCTGTCCCAATATAGCTCCACCAACAGACTGAAAAACTCTTTCGTCCCCCTGGCCATCAGACTGTACAACAGCTCCTGGCAGGGAGGACAATAGACAATGGGACAATTTCTACCTCCATTTGCACATCCATTTAAACTCTATCTATCTATCTATCTATCTATCTATCTATCTATCTATCTATCTATCTATCTATCTATCTATCTATCTATCTATCTATCTATCTATCGTACAGTCGTTGGTTTGTCCACTCTGGGCTACTGTAGAAACATGGCGGTTCAACATGGCGGCCTCTGTAGATAAAAACACAAGTCTTATTTTCAGGTGATTATACACTAATGGAAACATACCTATGGATATTATATTCCCTTTCTGACTATAGATCCTCCTCCATGTGACACACTGGACCTTTAAATATGAAGATAAACACTAAATGTGTATTTTGGGCGTTTTCTTTCCACTAATCTGAAAAAGACGTATTATGGAAGCAAAATAGATCTCAAAATGATCCAGTTTTTGGATGTATAGTGTCTTGCCTTAAATCGCTTTAATTTGCATCCCTTGCATTAAAACTGGAGACAACGGATCAAACTGAGCTTTTTCATTTATCTTAAAGGCTTTTACTGTGAAAAGCAGAGGAAGCAAGATGAGTACTGAAGCCAGAAAAGGGTTTGGCGAGCGTCCTCTTGCGTTCTCAGGCTGCTGAGGATCTGAGATCCAACCGCAGAGAAACACAAAGAGCAGATTTCAAGCTGCGTGAAATCAGGATTTCACAGAGCTTAAAAACTGTGTGTCTGCGCCTCCCGAGTCTGAGCCTGCAGATTGATTACAGCTCGGATTAGTTTTGTGTTTGGTTATTAATACTGTAAACTTCCACAGGAGAAGGAACAGGGAGGCCTGAGGAAGAGGCCGAGTCATTCTCTGGTTTTAGGGTGGTCTGTCTCTCTCTCTCTCCATGTCTTTTTTTAAAATTTGTCCTTCATCCTGACACACACCTCTGGCAGCCATGTGTGCACTCACGTCTGCATCACCTGTGTGTGTGTGTGTGTGTGTGTGTGTGTGTGTGTGTGTGCG